CCATGCCATACTCCCCCGCAATGAACGGCATCGCCGAGCGAGCGAACCGCACAATCACGGAGACGGCACGCGGGTTGCTCATTGAAGCCGGGCTACCCAACTACTTCTGGCCTGATGCGGTGCGGAGTGCGTGTGTGGCCAAGAACAGAGCTTTGACTCATGTGGGAGCAGACAAATGGGTGCCCTATGTGGATTGGATTGGAAGGAAGCCAAAGGTGGATATGCTTCGGGTGTTCGAGTGCATGTGCATGGCGCTCGTGCCTAAGCATCTTCGGCACAACAAGCTCGGTGCCAAGGCGATATGGGCTGTGCACTTGGGCATGGCTCAAAACAGCAAGGGGTGGCTTCTTTGGGACCCATTCACCAAGAAATTCTTGGTGAGCAGGGACTGCAAATTCATGGAGAATCTGATGTACAAAGATTGGAAGGCGAAGAATGAGGCAAAGATAGGCGGTTTGGGGAGGTGAAGAGTTCCGGTTTCGAGCATGTGGAGCTTCCTTTGGAGCTGAGCAGCGGCAGCAAAACCACAAGGGAATCTTCCCTTGTGAGTGGGGGAGAGGAGGCCAAGGATGCAGAGGAAGAAGAGGAGGTGCAGCATGTGAGCGAGCGTGCACCGACACTTCCTTCTCGCACTACGAGTGCTCCACGGATCCGAGTCACCCCGCAGCAACGCCATGAGAGCCTTCATGTCCCTGCAGCTGAGGAGGAAGGAAGGGGCAAAAGGAGAATTCAAGCCCCAAATAGGGTGACCTATGAAGCGCTCGGAAATCCAGCCAGGTCAGCCTTGGCCGGAGCGGCAATGATGGTTGGAGATGACGAGGAAAATGAGTACGAGGAGTTTGCTTTCGCGTTCGTCTCTCCGGTGGAGATGCCGGGGGAACCAGCAACTCTCAAGGAGGCCTTTGAGATTAGTGATGCTGAGGAGTGGAAGAAGGCAATGGAGAGTGAGCTGAAGAGCATTGAGGAGAACGGCACGTGGGAATTGGTGGAGCTACCGGAGGGGCGTAAGGCGATTACGTCCAAGTGGCTCTTCAAGATCAAGTCCGACGCCGACGGCAAAATAGAGCGCTACAATTCTAGGCTTGTGGCCAAGGGGTACCAACAGAAGGAGAAGGTGGACTATAAGGAGTTGTTTGCTCCTGTGGTGAAGCCAACGACGCTGCGAACCCTACTCGCGGGAGCTACCATGAGAGGATGGGTGGTGAAACAAATGGATTTGACAACTGCATTCCTCAACGGCGTCCTAGAGGAAGAGATTTTCATGGCGCAGCCAGAGGGCTTTGATGATTGTATTGGCAGAGTGTGGAAGCTGAGGAAGGCGCTCTATGGGCTCAAGCAAGCCCCTAGGCAGTGGTACTTGAAGTTGCGTGAAGACTTGGAGGAGATCGGGTTCACTCCCTCATACGCCGATCTTTCCTTGTTCATGCTTGGCGAGGGGGGGCAGAGGAGTTTCATGGTGGTTTATGTGGATGACATCCTCATTATTTCACCCTCCTCTGACCTTGTGAAAGAGGTGATGCTGAAGCTTCAAGACAAGTTCAAGTGCATGGGCCTTGGTGACGTGAGCTTCTGCCTCGGGCTCCACATCGAACGAGATGTGGAGAAGCGGTGCATGCGGGTGCATCAACGGAAGTACCTGGAGGCATTGGCTGCCAAATTTTGGTAGAGTGAAGGCCATGTGGCTACTCCATTTCCCTCTGGGTTCAATTGTGTGAAGAGACCAGAGGAGGAGAGCGTTGGTGAAGAGAAGAGGCGCTGTTTTCACTCGTTGGTGGGCAGCCTCATGTACGTGGCGGTAAACACCCGACCGGACGTCGCGTTTGCTACCGGACAGTTGGCTAGGGTTGTTTAATGCCCTAATGAGGAGCAGGTAGCTGCTGGAATGAGGGTGGCCAAGTATCTTGGCCAAACAGCGACGGTTGGGCTGCAATACTCGGCGGCGGCGCAAAGGCGCCAAAAGGGTGCGGATGGTGTTGAACCCGGGCGTTTGTTCCTCACCGCATTCTCGGATGCTTCTTATGCTTCGTAACCAGAGGACATGACAAGTGTTGGAGGGTTCATTTGCTGTATTGGTGGAGGCGCAACTGCTTGGGAGAGCAAGAAGCAGGTGGATCAAGCATTGAGCTCGGTGGAGTCCGAGTACATGGCACTCTTCCGTGCCGTACGGGAGATTGTGTGGCAGCGGCGTTTGTTGGCTGAATTGGGGGAGGAGCAGCAAGGACCTACCCCACTCTACTGTGACAGCCAGGGTGCCATTGCTCTTGCTAAGAACCCTGTGTTGCATGGCCTCACGAAGCACATGAGGGTGAAATGGCATTGGACGAGAAGCATGGTGGTCGCGGGTGAAGTTGAGTTGCATTACGTGAAGACGACAAGGCAGTCAGCTGACATGATGACCAAGAGGCTGGTGGAGCAGCAGCATTTGAAGTGTTGTAAGTTGGCTGGGATGGCTCTGAACTGAGAGATTAAGATCCTAAGGCAAACAATCCGAGTGGGAGTTTGTTGGTGCAACCCTATGGTTTGCATTCGGCTTGTTGTCCGTGTACGTGCATGCGTGTGTGCATGGGATGGTATGGGGGCATGATATAATATATATTTCATGCTTACAATCATGTGTGAATGATGAGGCATGATTTTTTGAATGTGTGTGTTGAGTCAATAGCGAGTTATCGCTAGTCGTGTGTCATGTCGTCGTTTGCGTGTCGTGTGCGGTTTTCTATTTTGTCGTGTGTGGAACGTTCGGCGTGTCGCAGGTGTGCGCAGCAGCCAAGAACTCAAGGAATAATTTATCTTGAAGAACCAGAGCCTTGGTTTCAATATTCAAGTGATTTCGAAGCTCTCCAAAAGGGTAAACTTTAAGATAGTGAGAATAGTTGCATTACTTTGTGTAGTGTAATATTTCTCTTGGTGTAGGCCCTTGTGGAGGGTAGTTTCGAGACCCCTCGTTATTGGGGACAGTGTGGCACTGTTCCACATCACTGTACCTCGGCTCTTGGGGTTTGTAGGAGCTGGGAGTCATTCCCAACTCGTAACTCTTCCTAATTTGTGTTCTAAGACTATAGTGGCTGCCATAGTGCCGTTCGTTCAAACCAACGTTGCGTCATCAATACTTGATAAAATCCTGTGATCTAAATTGCCTATTGTAGGCGACGTCAAGACGCTCCAGAGCCATTTTATAGCAAGTCATTTGAAGCTGTGAGCAGAACGCTATCAACGCTTGAAGCCGCTGTGCAGAAATCCGACACTCTATCTTTCATTTTAGGCACATTCAAGCCTTTTGTGACTATAACAGATGTGTTGATTTTGCAAATTTATTGTGGAGGCCCCGCAGTTAGTTATTTGAGCAGCGGATGTTTTTCCTTGCCAATAGGGTACCACTATAGGATCCTTATTTCCGAATAGATCTCACTGTTTTTTTGACGTGCATAGTTAATGTATTTTGAGTAAATATATGTGACTTGAAAATCAGGTATATCAAAAGTGCAGGATTTCAAGAATTCACTAAACATACAAAGCAAGTTGTATGTAAGTTTCTGCCCGGAAATGTAATTTGGATTTGCTATAATAACGGGTAGTACAATATTTAATAAAATTTCGGAATTTATATTCCAAGTTTAATTAATATTTATTTATAGCCAGCTATGATGACAACGCTAGGACAAAGGAGCACAAAGTGTACAAATTATGTACAAACCAGGCGCTTCAATCCAGCAGATGTTCTGTCACGGCCAGCAGCAGAGGAGCTGAATGTCATGGGAGTGGTTACATGGGACCGCAACTTCATCACTCGTTTCAGCCGTGGTTACAACCGTGATCAGCTGTACCAACAGAAAGCCTCTCATGACCCATCCTTCCTTTTCAGCAACCCTTTTTGGACCCGTGCAGATTCTGGTGCTGTTTGTGTACCTGATGACTCAAGGCTTCGCCAACTACTATTACACGAGTACCATGACAACCGGTCACACTTTGGCAGTGACAAGACGTATGCTGCCATTTCTCGTGACTACTACTGGCCTGGACTGTCCCGGAGTGTAGCTGAGTATGCCGCTTCATGCCCTACCTGTCAGGTCAACAAGGCTCGCACCACTGCACCGGCTGGTTTGGTGCAACCATTGGAGATACCCACAGCCCCCTGGACTTGTGTTTCTCTGGATTTTATCACATATCTACCCCACACCCCTACAGGCTTTGATAGCATACTCGTGGTGATTGATAAGCTGTCCAAGATGGCTCACTTCATCCCTACAACTGGCACGGTGACTGCTGCTGAAACTGCCAAGCTGTTTTTCACACATGTGGTAAGGCTACACGGACTGCCCTCAGCCATAATCAGTGACAGAGACATACGGTTCCTCAGCAACTTCTGGACTGCAGTGCTTCAACTGCTGGGCACACAGATTCGACTCTCTACAGCCTACCACCCTGAAACTGACGGTTAGACAAAGCGCATGAACAGAACCTTGGAGGATGCGCTACGCTCGTGTGTGAATGCTATGCAAACTGACTGGGATCAGCACTTGGCAGCAGTGGAATTTGCCTAAAACAGCAGCCCCAACATTGCCACGGGAGAGCCACCGTTTCTCTTAGCTACTGGACAGCTACCACGCTCAGTCACATCCCTCCCTCATCCTCTTCATTCCCCTAACCCAACAGCAGCAGATTTCATCTCTTCTCATCACCGCATTCTTCAACTTGCCCGAAGGAAGCTTCAGCTTGTACAAGAGCGCCAAGTTCGCTATGCCAACCAGCATAGGCGTCACACCACTTTCAAAGTTGGTGATTTGGTGCTGCTTTCAACTGCTAACCCGCCTCTGCTGAATGCTGGAACCTCTCGCAAGCTCGCTCCCAGATTCGTTGGACCATTCCCCATCACCAAAGTTCTCTCACCGCTCAGCTACCACCTTCAACTCCCTCCTCACATGACCATACACCCTGTTTTCCATGTTCACCTTCTCCGTCCTTACCGTACTCCCTCTCACCCATTCCAGCCCCGCCCACCCATGTTCTCTGCCCATCTGGACCTGCATGAGGTCGACACCATCCTCTCACACCATGACACTTCGGTTGGCCGTGAATACCTCATTCACTGGCGCAACACCTCAGCATCTGAAGACTCATGGGAGCCGTTCTCCAACCTCAGCCATGCTCCTCGTGCCATTGGAGTCTATCTTGCCTCATTGGCACCGAGAACGGTGCCTTCATGGAGGGGAGGTAATGCAACAAGTGGAGCTGAGTGCACTGGAGCCCGTGTGAAGTACACAGGAGGCAAAGTCATGCAGCGACAGCGTGCACTTGCGAACGTGGGCAGCACAAGGGCAGAAGTGAGCAGGACATGGGGGACCCACGTGAAGAGGACGAAACAGAGGTTTTGTGTCTTGACTGACTTTGGGGGACTTTCGCATGGGACAGGTGGCAGAAGTCCAGAATTGAAGAAATAGGAACGTTACATGTGTGCAATTGCAGTGAGTTGTACAAATTGTAAATAGGAAGGAGGAATGTGGCTCGATGTCAGGGCTGGCCACCCGAATCGGCATTCCGAGCCGCGTGTCCAGAAATGTAAAGTACAGTAGCATAAAAATACATTCGTAGGGTAGAGAGAGTAGTTTTGCTGCTTCTCTTTCTGTTTGTTGTTCCTTGCTTCTAAGGAAAATCCTTTGGTGAAATTCTCAGCCAGAAACAGTAGAACAAGCCCAAGAGCCGTTGAGCTTGTTACACCTCCCCGTCGTCGCCTCTCCCTCCCCGCCGTCATCCCTCCCTCCTCGCCGTCGCCTCTCCCTCCTCCCCGTCGTCACCTCTCCCTCCTCCCCACCGTCGCCTCTACTTGTCCCCGCCGTCGCCCCTCCTTCCTTCCCGCCTTCGCCGCTCCCTCCTCCCCGCCGTCGCCTCTCCCTCCTACCCGCCGTCGCCTCTCCCTCCTCCCTGCCGTCGCCTCTCCTTGTCCCCGCCGTCGCCCTTCCTTCCTCCCTGCCGACGCCGCTCCCTCCTCCCCGCCATCACCGCTCCCTCCTCCCCGTCGTCGCCTCTCCCTCCTCCCCGCCGTCGCCGCTCCCTCCTCCTCGCCATCGTCTCTCCCTCCTCCCCGCCGTCGCCTCCGGCAACAGGTGCACGAGCGCAAGCGCGGATTGGTGCACGAGCGCAGGTTGGTGCACGAGCGCAGGTTGGTGCACGAGCGCGGGTTGTTTTCAGAGTTACCGTAGTTATCAGGTGCGTTCCCGGTCCTTTCATCCTCCTTCCCCCCTCTGATTTTTTTTTTTTTTTTTTTTTTTTGCTCTCGTCGTAGTTTTTGTGTGTCGATTGGTCTCCTCTTGCGTAGCTCTCTTCGTCAAGAAAGAGAGAGACGCAAAACACGAGGGAGAGCGTGTGCACGGGAGCGCACGCACAAGAGAGTGCGCGTAAGAGTGAGCGTGAGAGAGCTCGTGAGAGCGCGCGTGAGAGCTCGTGAGAGCGCGTGAGAGAACGTGTGAGAGCGCGTGAGAGAGTGCGTGAGATAGCACGTGAGATAGTGTGTGAGAGTGTGCGTGAGAGAGCTTGTGAGAGTGCGCGTGAGAGAGCGCATGAGAGGGCGCGTGACAATGCGAGTTAGAGCGCGTGAGAGAGCGCGTGACAGTGCGCGTTAGAGCGCGTGAGAGCGAGCACGCTTGAGAGAGCGTGCGAGAGTGCGCGCGAGAGTGTGCCAGAAAGAGCACACGAAGGAGCGCGTGAGTGAGAGTGCGCATGAGAGAGCGCGTGAAAGAGTGCGTGAGAGAGTGCGCGAGAGAGTGCGCGAGAGAGTGCATGAGAGTGCGCATGAGAGAGCGCGCTAGAGTGCGCTCGAGTGTGCATGCAAAAGAGTGCTCATGAGAGTGCGCGAGAGCTCGCTTGAGAGTGCGCGTGAGTTTGCGCGTGAGGGAGTGCGTGAGAAAGCGCGTGAGTTTGCGCGTGAATTTCTGTTGCGCCTACTTTGTTTTTTTATACATTAAGGAAGCTACATTCTCTGATTTTGTTTTCTTGTGCAACGAATGCAAGTTGCATTCTCTGATTTTGTTTTCTTATGCAACTAATGCAAGTTGTATTCTCTGATTTTGTTTTTGTTTGTGCTTGGAGTGAGTTGCATTCGCTGTTTCTTCTTTTCTGTGCAGGGAGTTCAAGCTACAACCTTTGTTTCTTGTGGAGAAAAGGGTTGGGGGGAAGGGAGATGAGGGAAATTAGGGAGGGAGGGAGGGAGGGGAATGGGGGACAGGCTAGTTATGATTTGTACAAGGCTGAAATTCATTCATTATGCTTGCATGCTTATTACCGTAGCTGTATGTTTTTCCTTGTGTGTGTCTGTATATGTGAGACTATGTGTGTGAGTGCATACATGTGCATCTGTGTGTTGTGAGTGCTTCAGGGTGTGGTGCTAAGTGCCTCGTGTATGCAAGTGGGATTGTGATCGTCGGTGGGGCAGCTTTGCTAGCCTCTTCCTTACCATATCTATCTCAGTTGCAGCACTGATGCAATTAGTATTCGTCTTGAAACATTCTCAATCGTTGTCCTCTGTTTTTGTAACAGTTTGTGTTATCGTTTGTGCTTGTTTCGGGAGTGTGGTGCTAAGTGCCTCGTGTATGCAACTGGTGTCAAAATGTTATAGTGCTTACTTTGTGTATGCTATAGTGGGGTAGCCCATAAGGGGTACAGCCCAATTTAGGGTAGTACTTGTACCCAACTCTTTCATAGTTCATTCATTCTCGTTCTATAGTTTGACATGGTTTCATAGCAGGTTCTTCCATAGGACCGAAAAAAAAAAAATTAGGGCCCACCACAGAGCTGCCCCACTAGCTGCCTGCAGCCCTGCCCTAACGGCCCGCCGCCCTGCTGGCCGCTCTGCCTCCCCTAGCAGCGCGTCGCGCCGCCCTTAGCAGCCCGCGAACCGCCCCTGCAGCCAACGCGCTGCCCCTGCAGCCAGCGCGCATCCCCTGCAGCCTGCTCGCCGCCCCTGCAGCCTGCTCACCACTCGCTTGCGGCCCGCGCGCCGCCCTTGCAGCCCGCTCGCCGCCCACTTGTGGCCCGCTCGCCGCCCTTGTGGCCCGCTCGCCGCCCTTATGGCCCGCTCGCCGCCCTTACGGCCCGCTCGCCGCCCTTGCCGCCCGCTTGCGGCCCGCTCGCCGCCCCTTGCAGCCCGCGAGCCACCCTCTTGAAGCCTGCACGCTGCCCCTTGCAGCGCGCTCGCCGCCCCTTGCGGCCCGCTCGCCGCCCCTTGCAGCCCGCTCAACGCCCTCCGGAAGCCCGATCGCTGCCCCTTGCAGCCCGCTCGCCGCCCTCTGGCAGCCCACGCGCCGCCCTCTGGCAGCCCGCTCGCCGCCCTTTTTGCAGCCCGCATGCCCGCCTTGCTGCTTGCGCCGCCTGGCTGCTGCCCGCCCCTGCAGCCGCCCCTGCTGTGCGCCACCCTGCTGGTCGCCCTAGCAGTGCGCCGCCCTGCCTTGCCCTGCACGCTTCCCTAAAGGTCGCGCGCGGCCCTACCTGCGTGCTGCTCTGCTGGTCGCGCGCCACCCTACTCTGCCCGCTATGGCTTCTCTAAGTGTCGGATGCTGGTGCTGAGGATGTCGGGGCTGCTTCTGCTATTAGTGGGAAGCGCCGCAGCAACAAGGGCAAGGGTGGCGGGAGTGGTGGCGGTGGCAGCGGGGGTGGTGGTGGGGGCGGCAGTGGAGGTGGGGGAGGTAGCGGAGGTGGTGGCAGCTGTGGGAGTGGTGGCGGGAGTGGGGGCTTTGGTGGCGGCAATGGTGGCAGCGGTGGGGGTGGCGATAGTGGCGGCACTTGGACTGGTGGCATTCGGGTTGGAGCTGTTCAGAGAGGAGGTTCTGGCGGTGGCCAGCGGCAGCAGCAGCAGCGTCGGAGCGAGACCCCTTCGCCCCAGCGGCTTCGTGAGTGGTTTGCTAAGCGTGGGGCGTCTGGGGGTAGTGTTCGCTACCCATATGTCATTCGCACGTGTGACCGTGCTGGTCAGACATGCGGGAAGCCTCACTCTTAGCACCGCTGCTTCTCCCGCCTAGAGGACGCTTGGCGCGCAGAGTTTGGTGACGAGGCTGAGCGCCCCCGCTGGGCAGAGCTGCTTAGGCTGGAGTTGATATCATTGCTCTTGACTATGATGCTATCCTTGCTACAATGTATGCCTTGTCTATTAGTGCTGAGGGTGACTGTTACCTGTGTGTGCCACCCAACCCGGGTATAGAGGCTGCTGCTCTAGGTGCTCGTGAGTCTGCTCTCCCTGGTACTGCGCCTGCTGAGGCCTTGCACACCATTGCACTTGACTCAGGTGCTTCCCGGTGTTTCTTTCGCGACAGTAACACCCTCACTCCTCTCTCTGCACCTCTACCGGTCAGACTGGCTGAACCCTCAGGGGGCCCAATTCTTGCCTATTCCTCCACTGTTCTCCTGTGTCCGGCGGTTCCGTCCGGCTCACTGTCAGGTCTTCACCTCCCCTCGTTCTCTACGAACTTGGTGAGTACCGCTGCCCTCCAGGATGCGATGGTCACTACCACCACTCCTGGGGGTCATCGTGTGTCGATCTGCACGTGTAAATGGACGGGCCGTCACGTGGCCTCGTTCACCCGTCGGCCTGGGTCGAGTGTGTACACACTGGCTACCGAGCCTCCTCAAGGAGCTGCGTCTGCCCAGATGTCCGCGTCAGGTCCGATAGCAACCCCGTTCTCGTGTCGCCTCCTGTCGCACCAGACTCTCCTGTGGCACCACCGCCTTGGTCACCCCTCCCTGCCACGCCTTCGTGGCATGCACTCCTGCCTCCTTGTTTCTGGTCTTCCCAGGTCTCTGCCTCCCCTCCCGCCCTCGCCTGTCCCCCCCTGCCTTCCTTGTGTCGAGGGGCGGCAGCGCGCCGCTCCTCACTCCTCCTCGTTTCCCCCGCCGATTGCTCCCCTGCAGACTCTCGACATGAACGTGTGGGGCCCAGCCCGCGTCAGTGGACAGGGCCGCGAGCGCTACTTTTTGCTGGTTGTTCACGACTACACGCGTTACACCACGGTCTTCCCCTTGTGCAGCAAGGGTGAGGTCCCTGATGTCTTGATCCCTTGGATCCGCACAGTCCGTCTCCAGCTCCGCGAGCGGTTCTGCGAGTGTTGGTGCTACCCTACGGTTTGCACTCGGCTTGTTGTCCGTGTGCGTGAATGTGTGTGTGTATGGAATGGTATGAGGGCATGGGATAATATATATTTCATGCTTATAATTGTGTGTGAATGTTGAGTCATGATGTCGAGTGTGTGTGTCGAGTCAATAGCGAGTTATCGCTAGACGCGTGTTACGCGGTCGTTTGTGTCTCGCGCGCGGTTTCTATTTTGTCGTTCGCGGTTTCTATTTTGTCCTGTGTCGAACGTTCGGCGTGTCGCAGGTGTGTGCAGCAGACCCATCAAGAACTCAAGGATGAGTTTGTGATGAAGAGCCCGAGCCTTGGTGTCAAGCCTCAAGTGATTTCGAAGCTCGCCAAAAAGGGTACACCTCAAGATATTGAAGATATTTACATTACTTTGTGTAGTGTAACATTTCACTTGGTGTAGGCCCTAGTGAAGGGTAGTTTCGAGACCCTTCGTGGTTGGGGACAGTGTGGCACTGTTCCACATCACTGTACCTCGGCTCTTGGGGTTTGTAGGAGCTGGGAGTCATTCCCAACTCGTAACTCTTCCTATCTTGTGTTCTAAGACTATAGTGGCTGCCATAGTACCGTTCGTTCAAACCGACGCTGTGTCGTCAATTCTTTATCAAATCGTGCAATCTAAATTGCTAATTGTAGACAACGTGAAGACGCTCCAGATCCAATTTGAATCAGGTCATTTGCAGCTGTGAGCAGAACGCTATCAACGTTTGAAGCCGCTGTGCAGAAATCCGTCTGTGCTCTCTATCTTTCGTTTTAGGCACATTCAAGCCTATTATGACTATAACAAGTGGTATCAGAGCCCCTTGGAGCAGTTTCGACAATGTCTGGACCTGAGGAAAGGGGTGGCAGAGGTGCTGGTGGCAGTGGAGAAGCTCAAGCTCAAGGCCAACCCCGTGATTCAGCCATGGCGCCCATGCAACCAAGTCTTGGCCCACCTAGGGATGAGCCTAGGGTGTTTGGGCTTGACAAGTTCAACGGTGACAACTTTGCTGAATGGTCCTTCAAGACGGAGAACATCTTTGACCACTATGACCTGCTGGAGGTGATGGAAGGAACGGAGAAGCGCCCCGAGAACGA